CAACCTGAAAACTCTGATTTCTATCAAATGTGTTCTCCATGATCACCGCCTTTAATGCCAAATACACAAACACCTTTTCTGAAATGGGAAGGACTCAGTTTTTTTGTGGTTGTCGTTTCATTAAACTGCAATGTAGGTACATTTGTTTTAGGATAGTTGGGAATTAATAACTATCAACACATAACTTAACTCTAAATATCTACAAGCTATTACACGTTCAACAAGACAGCCTGTTCCTTTCACCGGAGCCATATCTGCAGGAGTGCCTGACAAGTCGTGGCTAACATTTCCTGCGTGCTCTTTCATGTTTCTAGGTCACATGCTGCTGAGATATATGAGAGCAGAGCAGCAGACTGCTGTGCAGTTGTTTATTTTGCACCCTCTCACCAAGAGGTTATACAAGAGCAAAGGTTGTGTCACTTGCAGGATACACTTGAGTGCTAAGACCCTCGCCAAGGCTGACAAGGCTAATTATAGGGACCTCATGGTGGAAATAACTGCCCTGGTCTCACTCACACACTCACAACTAAACTTAAAACTAGGCATAAAGAAACATTTCAGTTCACTGAAATAAAAACCAACTCAAAGCAAATAAGCACACTTTGAAAACGTAGCTGAATCTCACCTGAATTCAAGTAAAAACTCATGAAAAAAACAAACCCATTATTACGCCAGTAGAGACCAGAGGTATAACAGTTAAAGAGATCATCCTGATGCGTTGATCTTTGTGCGAATGTTATCCCACCTCAGATAGAAAACACTAAAATCAAGCGCTTTCTATTAATGTGTGTGTAAATAGGTGAATTTCACATCTTGTATAGAGCACTTTGAGTGCTCAGAGTAGAAAAGAGTAAAGACATATATGCATTTCATTATTACTGTATTACCAATTCAGGCCTACTTATTTACTGCCTTACTTTCCTGTTTTCAGTAGGAAACAATCTTCACACAGAACACCAGCTGCCTTCTTTCAGGTAATTTATGCACCCTCTGAATAAATTGACTACGGTTTTATTTTTATTTTTTTTGCCTGCATGAAAATACCATAATCCGCGCTGGAAGCCTGTTCAGTTAATTCTCAGCTAAAGTCTGCTATGATGAGCTGTCTCCAAATCCACTAAGCAGCCTTTGCAGCTGCTTCACCAGCACAGTCCTGATACTATGTAGTGTATGTGTGCATGTATACATCTGCTAAAAAACACTTCACAACAGTCTCAGAAATAACCACAGCGCGCTGTGAGAGGACACCGTGATCTGCGTCACGAGGTCACAACCACCGCCCACACACCCCAGAAAGACAGAACAGCAGACAGAGCTGCATAACTCCACACACAGCCCACTGCTCTTTATGTAACCACACTGTCACCGTATCCTCGGGCCCCGCTGGAGGCTTTGCATAATCGACAACACACCGATATATCTTACAGTTTCCCAAGCTGTCAGTTATAAATTAACCTTCACTGCAGGCTCTGAGTTTAGGCCGTCTGAGGTAAAGAGTTACCATGATGTTGCATAACACCCAGGTGGCTGTTTGCTCTACTACCCCGCTTATGAGGAGTGTACATGAACTGTGAGCCAGCCGCACCTCTCGCACCATCTACCACTCATTTTCATGCCATCAGTGGTAGATCTCTCCTGTATGAGGAAAACTTTTGCTTACACTGCAAGCCTGCAAAGTTTATTGGTTCAACTTTAGAAGTGCAACCTCGTAAAACCTGCACAGAAGAATTTGTTACTCATCTTGTGAAATAAACTCTGCATGCATCACAATCAGGTGAGCTAAGGTAGCACGTCTTAAATATGCAGAAACTACAAGTACTGCAACTGAAGTTTGTGTGGCATTCAAGTGCAGCAGAAAGACCTTAAAAAAAATCCAGTTAATACCCAAAACGTTCCCAAGGGACCAGTCACCTGTCTGAAATGTTGCCTACATGTCCACAAACAGACCCTGTGCCATTTTTTTAACCCGTGAGTCACCAGCACACCTAACCCAAATCATGTTTACTTACACCACTTACACCACCTGGTGCATTTTTAATACTGAGGACTTTATAGTTTATGCATTTTTTATATCCTCTGAATTCCTACATTCTTTGGTCGCATCTACTCATTTCACTGATCATTCTAAATGGGGGAGAAAAAAAAAAAAGTAGAAATGAAAGTCTTACCTGCCAAGTATGCGGGACTCCCCTGTTTCAACACACAGCCGGGAGCTGAGAGCTTCAAAGCTGGAGTTTTCCAACAGCTTCATTGTAGTCTGCAAGACCCATAAAGATAAACATACACATGCTGTTTAGCTTGCATTCACAACAGGTCTCTTAAGGAAACGATAATTATTATTATTATTATTATATATTTTATTTTCAACTTTAATTTATATATTTTATCTTATTCTTCCCAGTTAAATTTACCCTTCATTCTAATTTGTGTTGTACAGTTATTTCATTTTTAACCTTAATTTATATTTTATTCCTTCCTAGTTAAATTTACCCTTTTTAAATTTTTCATATTTATTTCCTATCTTATTCATAGCCTTTCCTTTTTTGTTTTCTTTAGGTCACGAGCAGTTGTCCAAGAATTTCACTACATATCGTACTGTGTATGACTGTGTACGTGACAAATAAAATTTGAATTTAACTTTGAGTTAACATGCCTGCACAGTGCCCGCCTTATAAAGTCATTACACAGCGAGTTACAAATCAGCGACAAGCAGATAAACAATGGTGTTATTTAGCAGAGAGGGGGTTGCAGCGCCCCTAGAGGACAACTTGCAGATCAAAACAGAAGCAGCTGCCCCTCCCCCACTCTGCTCTACATTTAGTTGACAAGCAGTCTTCCTGGTTCCCATATAAATCACTTACCAGGCAGTATTTTTCGACACTGGCCGAAAACAGACGGTCCAAAATCGAGCAGTGAGCTGTCTCGGTAGATACTTGCCCCTCTGTGACCAGCAGGGTGCTGAAGATAACCGAACCGCGCTCTGTGGGTGACCAGCTAACGGTAGCTAAGTTAGCTTACTGACAATTGCACTCCTGTCTTCACAGAACAGCCTTTAGTTCGCACTCGAGCTTAAGCATCTTACACAAACACTCGGTCGAGAATGAGTTATTCTGAGGCTTTTTAAGTTTATAGAAAAGCTGCTCTTGCCGATTAAGTGCGATGAGATTACATCCAAAGACTCTTGGCGTCCGTCGGAGTCTGTCTGCAGCGGCATCCCTTCCGACCTAATTTACAAAGCGACCGTTATTAGCGAGATCAAGCCGCCTTTTTCAGAGCGACTCGATCAGAAAAGCAGCAACGAGCTACCTAACGTCGTGAAAATATATATAATCTGGTTACGGTTGCTACAAATCGTCGCCTATCGCAAAGACATCTATTCTCATCAAAACAACGGACTCTACTGTACTGGTAAAACCCAGCCCCCTTTCTTTTATACACCTTGCTAAAGGAACCCGCCCACGCTTGTTTGTGGTCCCTTGTCATTGGCTGAAATAATCCATCAATATAAATATGACTAATAAGATTGGCCAGTGCTATATCGGGGGGTGGGCTCCCCAGGTTACTGTGTATTTAGAAACTAAACTTGTTTTGTGTTGTTTGTTTTATAGACCTTTCTTCTCTTCCGTTAATCGAAGCAGTCAATTAACACCTTAAAATACTCAAGTATTATACATATATCAAATATAAATAATTATTCATCCATATGTTACTCTGAACATCACACAGAAAAAGTCACTTTTATTTTGTACTACTTTCATTCTGCATACTCCAGAGTTTCTATAGTATATTTGTGGTTTCATCAGCTATTAAAAAAAGGATGAGTACTTTCGTTTAGCACTAAGCAGTGAACATCATCTCAATCCTGCTATCTCACGTACACGTGCTACCTGTTTATAATTACATTTAAGATCCCCCCCCCCCCTACTCCACCCTCCGTGCTACAAAGCAAAAAAAGATGATTTGACATTTGAGGGTGTTGTCATCAAGGCCCCTTAGCTCTAGAAAAAACTGGCTTTGGTGATAAGGCAGTAACCACCTCTTTTAAAGCCTTTTAGACTTGGTTTTATGTATTTTATGCTGTCTATTACATGTTGTTTAATTTGCCGTATCTATATTTAATGGGATTTTTAAAACAAAATATATATCATAGATTTCATAGCACTGTTTTAAAAGTGATGAAAATGGCTGACAAACTGGTCCAGTGGCCTAATGGACAAGGCCTCAACCTCCAGAGCTGGGGCTTGAGGGTTCAAGTCCCACCTGGGTCACTTGTAAGGTAGCTGCAATTAAAGTGTGATAACTGTGGTTGTGAAGTCTACAACAGTTCTGGATAAGTTTAAGTTAATGACCAGCTAAATCTATGGTGCTGCTACTTCTTACATCATTTAATGTGTTTCCATTCCCACAAAAACAGTTTAAGTTGCATACTGTGACAAAGGCTCATTTAAGCCTAAATATCACTGAAGATAAAACCACTGAGCGTTTGGGTACTGGGAAAACAAGTTCTGTTTCTGTTTGATAGTTCTTACATACAATAGTAACTTCAGGGGCTCATAGCCTGCTAGAGTCCCACAAACTGAATGCTGAGCAAAGAGAATGTCTAGGTGGAAAACCCTACTAACGAAGAGTGAGAGTCTGGATATTTGATATATGTGACTTAAAAAATTAAAGACACAAGAATATTGAGGCCAGTGATTGTGTGAATGACACACACACTTAGCTGCTTGTTCTTGTTTTAACTTCTGCTTCTCAGAACAGTAAGTTTAAGTGCCTTAAAAATACAGCATTGTTTTAAAAGTGATGAAGCTGTCAAACAAAAGGGCCCAGTGGCCTAATGGATAAGGCATCAGCCTCCGGAGCTGGGGATTGTGGGTTCAAGTCCCACCTGGGTCGTCTTTACTTCTATTTACCACAGCATCATTATAGAGATGGTGTACTTGATTAACTGCACAACTCCATAATGCTCTCTTTTCAGCTTGAAAGTAAAACCCAAAGCAACATTTATAAAATAGCAATTTATTTGCATAAATACAAACTGCACACAGAAATTATTCACAGTGTCTGGTCAGTTCTGTGTGATATAGTCAGAAATATCATTCAGGCCTGTGCACTCATTGTCCAGATACTCCAGAATGACATTTCCCCCATTATACAGAGGAGTTTCTGGGTGAGCCAACAGAGAGAGCAGGGTGTCATCCATCTGAAAAGCCTCGCCTGTCTGAGGATGACATAACCGCAGCTTCTGCAATTAAAGAGAAGAGGATACTGTTAAGAGATGTGCACGATGCTACACAGCTTTGTCTAGATATAAAACTGTAACTGTGGTGGGTACAATGTCCAACAACTCAATGCGTTTAGGCACGCAGACCTGGTGAATCTATACCATGAAGAATTAAAGCAGCTCTGAAAGCAAAAGCGTGTGTGTGAGAGAAAAAACAAACAGTGATAGGTTTAGCAAATAAGGCAAGACGGGAATGCTGCAGAAAATCGTTAATATTTAGGTAATATATTTATTTTCCCCACTCAGCGTGCTCTTATGTTGCTGTCTATTCCCAACAGTCTAATGAAGGGGACTATGAAATCTATTTATCAAAGTGACATTAATTTCAGTGATTTAATATTTTGAGTGATAAATGGCTTACAAACAGACCAATCAATTTTCTAATGTGGCTTCTATTACACACAATTCCAGGACAAACATTTATTTGCTGTATCATCAGCTAAATTCCTGGGATGGTATGAAAAATAAATTGCCTGTCACCACGCAGCACATTTTGGGCTACTGTAGCTTTACTGCAGGGCTTGCTTAAGTAGTGTTACTAAGGTATGGTCGAACGGGTTTCATAATGTATTCCTTCTCACTTAGAGAATAGTAAAAAGTTATGCTCTAATGTGTGTATACACAAACAGCACTTGCCTATAGACACCTTACAGTATTAACGCAACAAATACCAAAGCATTTGTTGCTACAGTAACCTACGGTGGTAAAAAGACAGCCACCATTGTTCATTCAGTGGTGCTAGTTTCAGTCATTGTGCAAAGGCACTGTTTATAAGTTTGGGGAAGCCTGCAGTCAGCTGAGACTGAATGAGTCACTTGGATGAGTGTTGAAATGTTTCTCCCACTGAAACGCTACGTCCAGATGAACAGAATCAACCTTTTGGGATGTTGTGGCACAGACAACGCCGACTTTAAGCTCAACATACTTCACTAACCCATCGATATTGCTATTTGTAGTACACCCCTCTGCTCTCTTACCTTAGCTGTCAGCACGTTATTGTTGTTCTTGAGGCCAGCCAAAGAGGCTGCATAATCCACCACTTTCCCCACGCTCCATTTGGAACAGAAGAACATGGGCTTGCTGGAGTCTTTAAATTCTTTAGGAAGATACACCTGAAAGTAGGTTCTCTCTGTCTAGAAAGTAAAAATAAAAGAAATTGAATAATGGCAGGTGGATGACAAGAGATGTTTAACATGCAGTAATGTATACACAAGAAACTGAGCAGACAGTAAAGTGTCAAAATAAAAGTATCGACAGTTGGGATTTTACCTGCGGCAGCCCCTTGTCCCCTGCAGCATGCAACTTCAGCTTCATCAGTGCCACCTTTGCTGCGGTTGCACTGTTCTTTGCTCCTCTGCGCCCTTTACTTTTGGATCCATCTTTTGACTCTGAGCGGCCACCAGGCACAAAGGAAAACAAAATCCAGGTTAACAGGTCAAAGGGAACAGGCACACAAGAGTGAAGGCAGTTGTTTAATACTGATCCCATGTGGACAAAAGAGGAATGACAGAAGAAACTCCGGACTACATTAACTAACCTACAATCTTCTGCACCAGCTCTTTGGTGGCTTGCATTCGAGGCTTTTGGACTTCCAGCTTCTCACACTTGTGATCATCTTGATGTCGGTGGCTATAAAGACAAAACAGTCAGTTTATTAGTTCTGAATTAATAAAAAAATATGCGATCGGAGGTTTAAACTTTTTCTGCCATGAACAAGGATCAGAAAATGCTCAAGAGCCACCGCCTTATTAAAAAGTTCATTAAAGTTGGTAACCTACGCCAAACAGAAATGTTTTTCACACTGCGGACATATAACTGGTAACAATTCTTTTCCCTTGCAGTCTTCAAATGAGCACGGATAACTTGTAGTTCCACCCGCTGTCCCGGATTCCCTTTTTACTGACTCCTAAAAAGAAAAGAAAGATAGAGTGAAGAAAGGCTTCAGCCATAAAGAGAAATGTATTTGTTGTCCTGATAATATTAGAGAAAGACATTAAGCTAATTTATTTAACAGCTCAGGATACCTTTGAACATGAGTGTCCATCTTTGCTTCTGTGCTCGAGACTGAAAGGGACAAAAATGTGTTTATCTGAGGTGAAAATGAACAATTCTCACCTGAATTATCTTAACCAGATAACTTCAGATATAAGAGTTTTCCGTACTACGAAGCTGGTTATGTTTTTACCAGAGTTTATTGTCATGGTAACCTATGTTAAGAACCTAATCTGCTCTGCAGCAGGTTATATTCCAGATAAGAGAACAACAGGTATGAACTTTCCCTGAAAAATAGCGTCACCAATCTTGGAAAAATCCCTCTGACATGAGTGCGCAGACAGTAGGAGGGTCTAAAGTTTTTCAATAGCGTCTAATATCTTTTTGTTTCCTTGTATTCTTAGTACCAACTTTATTCCTTGTTTTTTTTTTCTCCTTTTGGCTGCAAACAATTTTACAACAATTTTATTGGTCTATAAAAATTAATATATGATCTTAAAACAGGACACCTTTTTGTACTCCTGGACCTTTTATTGAGTTTGCAACTAGACTAAGCTGACCTTTGAATTCTAATTTTATATTTAATCTTTACTCTTTACTCAGCCCATCAAACACTACCAAGGCTGCAGCTAAGAGAATAAAAACTAAAATTGTCCTTTAAGCATTAACTTAATGAAATACCCAATTATAATTCACCTGATTCTCCTGTGTCTTAATGGAAGAGTTGTTATAATGAGTCTGGTCACACAGCATTTTAACCAAGTTTACTTTCCTGGATTTAAATAGACAAAACTGTATTAAAATTGTAGCTCTTCTCCCATCTTACTGACCAAAGTGCACATTTTAAATACTGTACTCAACAGTAATTCTCCTCTCACACCGACTGTAGGTGTGTAGATGTTTTTATAATTTCCCATGTATATAGAGTCAACTTCCTTTATAAAATCACCTGTTCTACTGAGCATATTTGCATTGTAAAGATCATCTGACCAGTTACGTTTCAGAGGAAACCCTGGGTTACCAGAGCAAATGATAACCAGCTTTGTGTGACCTCTTTACCTGACTATCAATGTTAAGGTGAGTGAATCCAGATAATGCTAAAATACCCTGGGTATTCTGACCTCACTCAGAGGCCTCTGGGGTGTTTTTATAAGTATTTCTTATTTATGTATCTTTATAGACAGAAGACTATTTCAGTTTGGTCCACTTCAATACAAAAGAAGCAACAGCGACTAGAACACAAAAAGGGATTTAACACTTAGTGTGGGGTCATTTACGACATCTAAACACACACTATTCAAAATAATTATATATTATTCATAATATAATATATATATTATATAATATATATATATATATATATATTATAATATATATTTATATATTATATTATATATATATATATATTTTTCATTATATATATATATATATATATATAATATCTATATATATATATTATATTACATACTATATATAATATATATATATATATTTATAATTATATATATATATATATATATATATATATTTTTTTTTTTTAAATATTATATTTAATATTTACATTGTATTGCAAAACTATTCATATATATTACATATCAATAATAATATTATTACATATCATACTATGCTATGTAACTATATATATTATATCAGTAATTATATATATACATATTTTATTACATACTATATATATTTATATATATATATATATATTATATCATTATATATACTATATTACATATAATATATATATATAATATATATATTATATATATATATAATTTACATATATATATATATATTAATATATATATACTTATATGATTAACATATATAATATATATTACGATATATATGTAATATCTATATATATATATATATATATATTACATATAATATATATGTATATGTAATATATATTACATATATATTACATATACATATATATATGTATATGTAATATATATTACATATATATTACAGTATTCGTAACAACACGCTAACAGATGCACATAAGAAAAAAACAAAAAACCTGACTTGAAGTCTTACCAGAAAACACCACCGCAGGAATCACAAACAAATGGCAGAAAGTCTGAGAGAAGAACAAGGAGAACGTGCTAAATATGTTGTGAACAAGGACCATAAGTACACTTCTTCCAGTTCAAACGACGAGATCTAACAATTTGCCCCAAAGTAGCTCATTAAACTAGTCTGACACTTTCAACCAGCTTCATTCACGTTACTTATATTTACATAACATTAAGAGTACAACTGTCGTAACTCATTTAAAGACCGAGCTGAATTTCCTTGTGGGAGTTTGTAGTTTTAGAGAAGAATGCTTGATAATAAATTGAGTTTTATCCGAGGGAACCAACGCTAACAAGCGTTAGCGCACAGGCTAAGCATGCTAAAAAAAAAAAGACGATTAGCGTTTTCATAATAATTAAAACAGCAGAATAAAGTCGCACCCCAACATCTTTATTTACTGTGCTTCACACAAAAATACAACGGACCTTTCAGATTGCAGGAATCAACCTGGCAATGCTTCCCGATGTCTAATTCAGCCATTAGCTAACCGAGACAGCGTCAGCTGAGATCATCGACACGAACTTTGACCCCAAATGCGTCGTCACGTGACTGAGTCTATACCATATAAAACTTTTTAAATCTTTATATTTTTAATTATATGTGTGTAACAGGATACACATGACTCGCATGTAAAGTAAAATAAATTAATAATTTCATTTATCCACATTTTTTTTCACAGTAAATAAAATTCAGTTTTATCAGCTTACTCAACATATCTGTTTGTACAACTAAATTAAAACATTAAAACAAGATATGATGCACTGTTGTATTATCCCGTTTGGAGAGAAAACACGGAAAAGACGCAAAATTTAAGCCCTGGTGGAAACGGGAGGTAAGGCGTCAGGTATCCAGACGTCACGCAGGTATCTGCGAAAGGTGTGGCGAGAGTTGTGTTCACGGCTTGTTTGAAAGAACACAAAGCCGTCGAGCTGGAATATCTGCCCGCAACACACCCGCCTTTGGAGAAAAGAAGCTTGGACGATCGTTCAGACTGTTTTGCTTTTTAGTTACCAACAAAGTTTACCGCCCCCAAACAGCCAAAATGAGCAAAATCTCCAATTTGTTCAAGGGGGGCTCGAAACACAAGTCGAAGGGAAACCCTTCGGCCCAGGAGGCCATCCACAAACTCCGGGAAACAGAAGAAATGCTGACAAAGAAGCAGGACTACCTGGAAAAGAAGATAGAGCAAGAAATTGCGATAGCCAAGAAGCACGGCACGAAGAACAAGAGGGGTATTTATATTTGTTTTTATGATGGTCTGAAAAAATGTGTGCACCTGTTCCTCCACCGAGGCCAGGCCAGGACACACTACGCCTCCAGGAAGTCTTATCTTGTACACTTCCATATTTTAATCTTTTGTCCGGGAAAATATCAAAGCAAAGGAGGTGGTTTATGGGCCTTTTATATCTCATTTTACATTTCTGTTGTTCTTGCTTAATAACTTGATGTGTGGTAGCAACAGCTCATGGGTTAAACCGAAGACACAATGTCTATATAAACAGAGTTTATAAAACCTGACTCTTATTTCTAACAAGTCTTTTTTGTTTTATTTTTTTACAGTGAAAATCCCATAAAACCTTTAAAATGTACATTTTTGGACTCTTGCGACTACAAATGTACCAGCTTTCATAAATCCTAGTTCACATATCAAAAATTTAAGGTGGATGACTCTTTTGTTATTTAGATAAATGTGCAGGAAAGTGTTAAACAACTCTTAAATGTACAGTGACACAACTGTGAATACTTCCCTCGCAGTGATTGTCTTCAGTGTGTCATTGACAATGCCTGAAAATACAACAGGTTTCTAACAAGTAAAACAACAAAAGGTTTTTATTAAACCTGAAAGGTCCCTTCCCTCAGAGCTGCACCTACAGCCCTGGGTAGCATGGACTGTTGTCTCAGCTGCATTGGTTGTTGACTAAGAGTAAACGTCACCCTGTGAAAGGGAGGAACCCTGTCTTTTGTTTGTTTGTTTGTTTGTTTGTTTTTGTTTTTGTTTTTTTGAGGACACATGACACTTTTGGAAATTTAACTGCACAAGTGACTTCTATGTCCTCTCTGTGTCAGCTGCCCTGCAGGCCTTGAAGAGGAAAAAGCGTTTGGAGCAGCAGCTCACCCAGATTGATGGCACGCTCTCCACCATCGAGTTTCAGAGGGAAGCTCTGGAGAACTCTCACACCAACACGGAGGTCCTGAAGAACATGGGCTATGCTGCCAAGGCCATGAAGAAGATCCATGAGAACACGTAAGAAGCTGCTCACACAAGGCAGAAACCCCCCTGAGCTTTGGTCTTACTTTCCACCGGTAGTCCTGGCTTGGTTGTGTTTATGTGCAGAGATTGTTTCCTTTTGAACAAGGAAACATGTGACGTAAATTCATTTATGAGCCATATTTCAGAAGGAAAGCTGCAACATACAATCAAAAATGTATAATTAGTCAAAATGATGAATAAATCCTAATACTTCTTTGGTGCAGTTTCAACACTACTGAATGTTGTGTGTGATAATTGAACACAGAGAATCTCAAACAGAATTTAATTAAGAAAGCAAGTGCGGTGTTTTAAGTGAGTGAAAACCCTTTCACCTTCTTTCACTCTTACTCTCATTCTCAGGGATTTGGGGAAGATCGATGATCTGATGGCAGATATCACCGAGCAGCAGGACGTGGCCCAGGAAATCAGTGATGCTATCTCCAGACCTTCTGGGGAAACATTTGATGAGGTGGAGACTGTCTTAGTGTTTATAAAGACTTTTTTTTTTTTGCACAGATATTAAAATATGCTTGGTATTTTGCTGTGTGGCACGTGCTCACTTTTCTTTTTTTGTTAGGATGAACTGTTGGCTGAGCTGGAGGAGCTAGAGCAGGAGGACCTTGAAGAAAGTATGATGAGTATGGGCGGACTGCCCAGCGTTCCCAGCTCCAAACTGCCTTCATCAAGATCCAATGAGCGCGCAAGTAAGTTTCTAACAACTGACAGATCTTACATGTGATGGCCACTTTCACACGCTTGCCTGCAAACTGTAATACTGCCCCAACTTTAAAAAAAAATCCACAATATTTTTAAAAATGTATCTATTAAATTATTAATTTTAAGCATATTTCTGTTAATTTGATCTTTAGTGTATTTATTTGAATATTATAAAATCCAATTATAATCGCGAAAATGTAATAATGGAAACTGATTGTTTTTTCTCCATTGTGAAAAGGTGCTGCAGTATATGCACACAACAGATTTTAAGGCTTATTATAAATCCATTAAAGGAGAAGATTCTTTTTGCCATCAGTAAAATAAAAAAATTGGTTGCTGGTAAATTTCCCATGTTTAGTCCACAGCATTGATTATTAATTGTTTCCTCCTTTTTTACAGCAACCAGGAGAAAGGTTGAGGAGGAAGATGACATGCGCATGCTGGCATCGTGGGGAACTTAAGTACACTAAGGCAGCCTGTTTCCTGAAGAAAGCATACACAGAACTATAAAAGGATCTTTCTCACAGTCTTTTTATTATTATTATTATTATTATTGAAAGGCATTTCAATAATGAAGAGCAATATGTTGTTTTTGAGTAAACTTTCAGCTACATGACTAGTAATATTCAAGAAGTGAAGGAATAGGTTTTTGTTCCCATGTGTGTGGGGGTTTTTTGTTGTTGTTTTTTGTTTGTTTTTTTCTTTTAATGGAAAGTTATGGAATGTCATTTCTGCCACTACAATAAAAAAGATTTGCCATATACAATTTAGTATTAATATCTCAAAATTTGGGGTTGTGTATCTTAAATGTCTAAGAAAATAATTTTAACTTGAAAAATAACAAACTTTGACTTATGGATGGAAATTGTTTGCCTTCTTTGTCAGAAACAAACGTTCATAGAAACCATAGTAATCTATGACAGAAAAATTTTAAAGGGTCAATGAAATTGTAGCTAGGGCTTGACTAATGCTTTTATAACTAAGGGGAAAAGTGTACTTTATTCAGCTGTAAATAACTTCTGCATTAATGTTGTAAATACAGGCTATTGCTTTATCCCTGTTCCGCAATAAAAGTCTTATACATATCTCAAAGTGTTTATGTCCTCTTTTTCTAAAAATAATAATTATTAAAATTTGATATGTAGCTATGTATTCTTGTGGTTATATTATTTTCGAGTCTTAAGTAATAACTAAAAACCTTTAAAATTGAGGATATTTGTGTACGTTTTATGCATCCGGTTTTTAAACGATGTGCCTTTATTTTGAAATCAGGGACCGGAAGTAGTGTATTTGCATTCAGATTATCCGGTAACTTCTGTCATCAAGTATTCCGGCGAACTAGCCGCCCAAAGACAAACTAAGACTATAATTCGGAATTTAACGGAACATGGAAGCGAATAAACCAGTTCAGACCTCAGGTAAGATTTTGATTTTATCGCAACTCAAACAACTTTAGTTTGTGTAAGTTATCAAATAAAGACGGGGCGTTTCCGGGACTGTCAAAATTAGCATCAACTTAGCAGTTTCGAAGCTAAACGTCCGAACCGGATTTTGACACGTTTCACTATATCGGCAAAACACAACTGAAACGTATTTAAGGTTTATAAGAAATACTTTTAAACCACAAAGGCTGTCAGTCATAAATCTTAAACTAGATGGTATCGATAACTGGAAACTCAGTTTCCGCCTTAGTTTAATATTTGAAACATTTCCTTTTCACAGTAAATGTATTCAGCACACCAGCAAAGGTTTTAGTACATCAAAAGTGTATAAAGTAGAGCTTAAGGTTAATTTAGGTGACTCAACTAAGAATGCGTGGGAAAACACATTTTAGATAACCAAAGTATAAGTCAAAAAAGATGAAGTAACTTAAAAATGTGGACCGGGAAGGAAATAAAGTAACCATATATAGTAAATGTATAGGTTTATTTTATTTGGAACAAAATCCTCGTTAAGTTGGTCGATTTTGCTCAACGCAACCGGCCCCAGCAGGCATTGCTGCATAATTTGGGAGGTCTACGTGACTGTGACTCAGTCGCCTTCACGACATGTTATAAAGGCAACCGACTTCTTTAAAACCTCTTGCATTTTCCCTCCAACAGATACCCCCTCGTTAGTTTTAACAAGTAGTGTTTGCTATTTGAAAAATACTTAATAAACTTTTAAAAACTGAAAAAAGAAAAAACGAATGCTTTTAAAGCATCAAAGGTACACCGAAACAATTAAATGTTAATCCGGCACACTGACTCATGTACCGCTAACGTATTTCGGTCCGACTGAGCGCAATTGGGTAGACGTATTCACACGTTTACCACGGGTTTCAGGAGGTAGAGCAGTTCATCCATCAGTGGAAGGCCGATGTTTTGATACCTGGCTGCTTCAGTCTGCATGCCCAAGTCTGTATCCTGATCCTCATGTTGCTTTCTGATGCATCTGTGGGAGTATCTGTGTGTGTTGTGGTTGGGGCAGCCAAGAAGAGGGCCACGCAGACTGTGAGCGAAGCGGCAGAGAAAGCCACAAAGTGGCTGTGGATTAAGAGGGCTGATCCGTGGCTAGCTACTGGTACGCAAGTCGGGGCCTGATCGCCTGGGTGAGGGTGTATGATGTTGCGAGACCCGAAACACCCGATGACCCCAGGATACATCATTGAAGATGCGTGCCAGTCCATCCAGGACATGTTTCTTGCATAGTGTGTGAATGTTAGAAAAAAAAGTGCTTGTATGGAGGAGTGTGAATGAGGCATGTTGCATAAAGAGTACTGAGATGCTATGTAAGAGCCAAGCATAGCATACTGGGTGTATACCATTAATCAAGTCTTAAAACCAACAAACATAAGTTCAGTTAGTCATTGTGACATCCACACAACCTTTAAGCTTTTTGTTCGTACAAATTATATCCCAAAATACATTAATGATATATACCAGAGTCAAAAGATATAATCATTAAGGTGTATAGAAATTATAATACATTTCATTTTGACATTTTTTTTCACAATTTTATACACAGAGTTTGGTCCATATTGACATGATCGCATCAAGCACTAGCTGGAGCTGCCAACTGCAGATCCCAAAGGTGCTCGAATTGAGAACTGCTGCTTACTGGATATTTTCTCTTTTTCGGACCATTCTCTGAAAACCCTAGAGATGGGCTTGTGTGTGGAAAATCCCAGTAGATCAGCAGTTTCTGAAATAGTCAGACCAGCCCATCTGGCACTGACAACAACTTTTAAAGTCACTTGAATCACCTTTCATCCTCATTCTCACGCTCTGTTTGAACTTCAGCAGGTCATCTCGACTGTGTCTGCAGGTCTAAAAGGATTAAATTGCTGCCAAACGATTGGCTAATTAGATATTTGCATTATAAGTTGAACATGCTTTGAATGAAACCCAAAGTTAGGTATTTTTATTTGTTTAAATGTAGTGAATCCTGTTAAGCCAGTGGTGGCTTAACAGGATTCAGAGCTAATAAGCAAATTTTTGCATAATAAATAAAATAAAATTCATTTGAATATTTTTTTTTTTAAAATTTAAAATAAATGCAAAAAAATTTAAGCATGCAATAATACTAATAATCATGAGTATAATGACGATAATACAGTTATTTGTACTGACACTGTCTTTTTTATGATTTTTACGGACCGTAGCTGGACAAACCTCTGGACCAGACGAGGTGGCCAGAAAGGCAGGAGCTGAAGCCAAGGAGGCCAATCGCCTGGATGAAGTTCGTCTGGTGGTGTTGGGATGGAGGTGGCCGGGGAAGAGCTTGACAGGCAACACCATCTTAGGCAGAGAGGAGTTTCATTTAGAGCGAGCTGCTGAGTTCTGTGTTACGAGGCAGACTGAGGTGCAGGGACGACAGGTGACAGTGGTGGACACGCCAGGATGGTTCTCTTCCCAGGATACTCCGCCTTCCTATAAACAGGAGTTAGTCAGGGGAGCCTCTCTTTGCCCTCCAGGTCCACACGCCTTCTTGCTCGTCATCCCCGTTGGCATGTTCACCGAGGTGGACCGTGCTCGCATTGAGGAACACGTGAGCCTCTTTGGGGAGGATGTGTGGAGGCATACAATTGTGGTGTTCACCTGGGCGGATGTGTTGAAGAAAATCTCCATCGAGAGGTACATTCGTAGGGAGGGTAAAGATCTGCAGTGGTTGCTGGAGAAATGTAAGCGGAGGTACTTTCTTATTAACAACTGCATATTTGGGGAGAATCCCCAAGTGGGACACTTAATAGAGAAGGTGGAGAAGATGGTGGCAAAAGAGGGTGGGCACTACAATCCAGAGGAGGCGAAGGAGAAGAAACCTGTAGATGAGAACCGGAATTCGTCCAAGGAGGCAGAGGAGCTGGGAGCCCAGCCCAAACAAAACTCTGGAGTGGGTTTGTCAAAAGCCAGAGAGGTGGAGGCGCTTTCAAGTGAGTGATGAGCTCATGTCACAATGGAGGACATTTCTATGTATTAAATATCACATGAAGTTCATCTGAGATGAGCTTCTATAAATATTTTTAATCATTTAATCATATTTAAGCGCTTGTATGTAAAAAGGAATGAACCCACACAAAACTATCACCTGACTATACAGTTTCCTTCAACTCCACGGAGCATTAAAGTTTTTAATGGTTGAATTTTTTTTAGTAGTAAGCATTTGTTGTCATCAGCATTGTTTTTGGTCACAGCAAGTGGCCCTTTGAGCAAAAGGCTCTAAAAAAACGGCCACTTTATCTGCTAATCATAGGTCTCAGTGATGTTTACTGCCAACAGTCTTTTCTGCAAAGAAGATGACAACAACTGCTGGATGGCAGTGGCTTATTTTTATACTGAAACTGAAGAGTTAATAATTGTAACAATTTTTTGTTTCCCAGCTACAAAAGGTAAGCTGGCAGTTAGTTAGGGCATGTAATTAGCTTTTATTGGAGTGGTCCTCTACACCAAGCCCAGTTTTTCATATTGCCCGCCCCTGTATTAGAGACTGTCTCTGGCAGCTAAAGTGTTATACCTTTCCTTCAGAAGTTGAAAGCGTCCAACTTGTGTTATAGTGCTAACTCCAGTATTGAAACTAAAAATGGCTATGAGACCACTCGTGTAAGTACGGTTGGTCCATGTAATTAAGGGAGAGGTAACAGAAATCAGTCCATTTTCTCATTATTCCTGGCTATTTGACAAAAAAAAGTACTTGTAAATGTACATGTATGTAAAAAAAATCTTCTTTTGACAAGCTTTGAGCTACAAGATTAAACCTAAACAACAGAGATGCAGGCTGTAAAACCAAACATGGAGCTGAATGTAAGGTAGAGTCGGGTAATAATTATCTGTGGGTTCATCACTATGAAGAGCTTAGTTTTATTTATTTGTTATAGATGATCACTGCTTTAAGGAACACATTACTCCACACAGGTACCTTAAAGTAGTCTTGTTAGCCTGTTTCATCTTATCGCTGCTTTGTGGTGTGTGTGGTTTAGATTTCAGATTAAATTATAATCCTTCCTCTAGGTTTCCTATAACTGAAGAAGAGCAAACCTAGAAATATCCTTTTGTTTTTAACATCCTTGTCTTAACAGTGATGTCGTGACTGTGCATGAAAATTAAGCTTGTAAACTGGAGTCTTGTTATAAATTATTAACAGACTGTGTGTTTGGTTCTAGATTAACGAGACATTCATGGCTGACGGAGCCTCTAACCCACGACTAACGAAGCCTCTTCCTTACTGATCTGATGGAAAAGCCGCTGTGTGTTGAGAGGAAAAAAATGGCAAAAAAATAGCAAAACAACTGAAATGTTACTGAATGTAAAAATCAATGTGATATATTTATTTTATTTTTTTTAATCAGTCGTGGACATTTTTAAGGAGCTCAGTGTGATAGAGGAGGCCTTTAAGCCCTTTCGTTCATGTTGTCCAGAGACTTGCTGTCCCGCTTTTACCCAGAATTAATTCTGGTTAATCTTACTAGGTTTGCAATACGGTCTTGTGGGGGGTGGTGTGATGAAATCTCGAACAGAAACACAAGTTGTTACATAGATATTGCCAAATGTAGTGTGTACACTCCTTACCGGATACCAATGGCAGAACTGCACTACTAAATTGTCCCTGTAATATCCTGTTGATTACTGGTGAGGGGAATTGCTTTGCAAATAATTCCCATTTGTTGTGACCAAACTGTAAATGTGTTTCTAATGTTGCATTACACACACACACACACACACACACACACACACACACACACACACACACACACACACACTCACACACGTACATATTTAAAGCACTTGAGCAGTTACTGTTTTTTTTTTTTTGTTTTGTTTTTTTGTGGTTGTTTTGATGTGTTGCCTTAGATGATAAAGTTGCCTTAGATGATTATCTTGTTGCAGAAGGATAATTTAAAGGAAAGAACAACTATTACTCAATATACAGGAAACTTAGGTTTTGGTTTAAATCATTTTCCAGCAAAATATGAATTTATGGTTAATTATCTCATAGCAAATTCAGTGTCTTTGGGTTTGGGGAAAAGATTCAATTTCAAGGTGTTTCCTTTGTTTCTTATAGATTTAAGATTATGTTTCCAATAATCTGAGAGTACAGAATAAGTAGGTCAAACCGGCTACCAAAACTCGGGTTGAACAACTTGAGGTAGTCTTGAGGAGTTTCCGGTTTCGCCAGAAGTTAAGACATAGATTTCCACAGATGTCTAAATGAAGCCTAATGCTTTACTCTAGGAATGACAGTGGTTTGAGACTGCAGCATGACCATAATTATTCTGAGCGTTGCAATGAAGTTGTGATTTTGTTGCCTTTGAGATGATGGTTTCAAAGACAGGGACCAGGTCTGCAACCGCTCACAGTTAGTTGCCGTCCTCAAAGCATCTTCCTTACATTTTCCTAACTGCTCTTCCAGTTCAGGGTTTCGGGGGAGGCTGGGCTTATCCCTGCGGCTACGTACAGTTTGGTAATAATTATTTGATCCACTGCGAATTTGTAAGTTTGCTGAGTGGTTTGAGGTCTGCAGACTGGCTAAGCCACTCCATGGACCTTAAAGTGCTTCTTCTTTAGCTACTTCTTTGTTGCCTTGGTTTTGGGTCATTGTCATCCAAGACCCATCTTCAGTGTTCTGGCTGAGGGAAGGAGGTTTTCGTCCAATATTTTATCGTACTTGGCTCCATCGGCCCATCAATGCAGTGAAATCATCCTGTATGCATAGCAGAAGAACAGCCCCAAAGCATAATGTTTCCCCCTCTGTGCTTTACTGTGGGAATCATGTTCTTTGGGCCATATTTGGCATTTCTCTTCCTCCAAACACGGCGGGTCGAGTTGATGCCAAAGAGCTCCATTTTGGTTTCATCTGACCACAGCACCTTCTTCCAAGCCTTCTCTGAATCATTTAATTGTTAACTGGCAAGTTCTAGATGGGCCTGTACCCTGCAGGTGCTGCAAAATTTCAATCCATTATGGTGTAATGTGTTACCAACAGGCTTTCAGATTCATCAGGGGATCAAAAATCATTTCCTCTCAGTACATTTGACTTTGGGATGAAACTCATGCAGACACAGGGAGCACATGCAAACTCATGCAAAGAACAGTCCCGGCCAAATGGTGCTAACTACTACACCATGCTGCTTACTGAAAGAAAATGCTGACTTGTTTCCTCAGATGTTTTATTTTGTGCCATAAGGATATAAACAGTGATTTGGAAGTTCAGACTGTAGACATAACTTTTGTTTGTTTACAGGAAAATGCCTCCGGGCACAGTTATCTTTTTGTTTGCAGAAAAACACAGCCTGGTTCCAGCAGGGTGTACAAGCATGATGTAAGATTCCCACCTCTTTGTTTTCTAGGTAGTACTACATTGATTCATAGATTGTAGTACTGTAGGCAGGCCACTTTGGTCTTTTGAGACTCATTTAGTACCTCTTCAAGGTGATCTTAAAATGATAGAGTCAGCTGTTCTATACAGGCATTTAAATCTTCTTTGAGTAGATGTATAACTCCTTTTATAGTCCACAAACTTTACCCGAGTCCTCAAATATTGTCTATTCTCTCTCTCTCTCTCTCTCTCTCTGATGTTGATAGATTTGCGTTGGATTAACCTTCATGCTGTTAGGTATTACCAGAGAAAGTGTTAGTTTCAAAGTTGGCCTTCAATCTTTAATTTTCTTTAAATGTCACGGGTCAGTCGTCACTTCTGGCTATAAATGAGGAGCGTGAGCGAGATAGAAAACCACGTATATACTTATATTTATTTATAGTAATGAATGAGTACAATAAAAATAACCACACACTCTCAGATATACACTATACCTGTTTAATCCAGTTTGGGACAATACTGACGTGTTGGTTGAAGTTTAATGCTGAAACCTGAGATGTACAACAGATCTGCTGGCAACCAATCGTAAACAAGCACCTGAGGAGTAGAGATTACTGACAGGTCATGCTAGCACAGTCAGATACAGTTACTGCTACAGATGTGTGTCACTCTTGATTTACTGTCTCTTATGTAAAGAAAAAAAATTTAAACACCAATGAGTATATGATTTAAAAATGTTTTAAAAAAACCTGACTTAGCACAAATACATGTATGTATGTATGTATGTATGTATGTATGCATACACAGGATGCTGTAAGAATCTCCCGAGGCATGAAATCCACTTTGTAGCAGTTCTTCTGGATGCTTTGATCCTGTTTGATCTCAGATGCATTTCTCACTTAAGCATGTGAATCCAGTTACTGCTAAGTAATTCATGGACGAAGAGTCACCTCTCTCTATACTTTGCACTCCCGTTACACTATATGGAATCAGCTGTAATTAAACTGTCATTACTTCAATGAGAGCTACAATGTCTGTTTTTTCTGTCAAATAAATGTATATATTGCAATCTACGCTGTCTGTAGCCTGTTTCTTGAATGTGTGACAAATTAATTCATTTTTATAACAAGTCTTCGGTGATTTGTTAAATTAGGTATTATGGCCAAAGTTTCATAGATTGTTAGGTGTGGACCCAAATGCAGACTCGCCATGCAAGGAGATGGGGAAAAAAATCAACAAAAAATGAATCTTTATTTAAGCTAGCCCTGAACTCAAAATAAGCCCCCAACTAATACATAAGTCCATTAAATAAACTACCAAACTCAATCCAAACATAAGCAAGGAAGCATACATAGAAACACGGCAAGATGCCAAAGTATATACAAAAAGAGGGCAGTTAAAGGAAGTGAGAACAGCTGACACTAATGAAGACAAAGGAAGTAAAACTACAACAAGGAAGACTTGAGCAAAAGGTTGCCAAAATAAAACAGGATATAAAAAACTGGGAACAGATGAAGACTTAACAAAAAAACTAAATGACACTGGGCAGCCTATTTCTAAATGAAACACTAAGTAAATACCAACATCCCTTCCAAACAGGCCATACTTGTTCAGTCTTTTTCCTGAACAACTATGGCCTGCTTTCTAATTGTACTGTCTTGAATTTCAACATTTAACCTTCAGACCTGCAAGAACCCTCTGCTTTTATTTAATGTGCTCTCACTTGCTGATGATCAGTTAATCAAGTGCATTTGATTAGCAACAGCTGGCTGGCTGGAAGCACTAAGGGTGCACTTATTTTTTCATACACTGCTTCTGCATTTGATGTTAATCATTGATAAATAAATAATTGAACAGTGCAATCTGTCATGTGTTGTTCATTTGAGGTTGTGTTTTAATAATCTTAGGACCTGTGGATTCAGAGGATTTGTTTAAATACTTCCTAGTATGTCAAACGTTAGAAAAAGAGCGTACTTACTTTTAGACAGCAGCTGTCTGATTTATTTTCCTTCACGGGCAGCAGTGTTGTTCTCTGTTTTGCCCACTAGATGGGAGTAAATCACCACAGAGGTGACCAGCAGCAGGATGATTCACAGCTGTGACGTGACCTTGGACACAATAGAGCGATTAACTCGATTTGATGAATGTAATTGCTGGCTGTCTAGCTATTAACACCCGCTGATTACTGTTTATAGGTACAACATGCCGGGCTTGTGTTTGTGCAGCACACTCCATTGGTTCCTCAGGCCCTCTTTGAGGCACACACAGCACTACTTGTATTAGATAATCTGAATTCTGTTGTTGTTCTTTGCAGCACTGAATCAGTCTCTGTAACAAACAGCTGAAGTCTGACACCTCTGCCTTGCTCCTTCGGTAATGTTTCCCCCCTTACTCAAACCTTTTTCATGCTTTTTTTTTTTTTGCTTCTAGCTTGCTCAGCTTGTCTCCATCTCCCCTCTGCTGTCTTGTTTGCTCAGCTTTCTCTCTGTACTGCTGTAGAGCTCCATCTCCTCAATCTGCAGTGAGGCATTTCCAAAATCTACCTGATCCAAGGGTTTCACATAAACCAAGCATGCAGCATTTTTCACTGTCATTTAAACACAGGTGTCAGAAAACTTCATGGCCAAAAAAGATATTCAATTTTTGGAATGCCTCAGCCCAGGGGCGTAGATTTGGTTTTGACATTGGTGGGGACGGATGATTCAACCACCGAACCCTGCCCTGTTTCTTTTTTCTTTTTTCCTTTATGTCTTTGCTTCTTGACCAAAAAAGGAGAAATATACTTGCCTACATATGCTATTCTACATGCTTTTAAACAATTTAAAATTACAATTCATAGTTTTATATGTGAATTATATAATGTTAAATTACTATTAAACAAATGACTGACTAAAGTATCTTAGGCTTTAGTTTACTTCAGCCATATTCCATATAAATCAGGCATCATACAAAAATAAAAATGGCTTCAAATACAGTCATGACAATAAAAGAAAATGACTTTAAGGACTTAACAACATTAGTTCAGTTATAGTACACTAACATCTCTTATACATTAGCACTAAGGGAACACTGAATGACCTGCTGGTTTTTGTCCATAAAACTACTCATCTAAGATTTCCACAAAGTAAAAGATCTCTCAGCAAAATTATGCAACATTTTAGGCACTATTGCCCCGATCAAGTCAGTGAGCTGGGATTTTTTTTTTCTAAACATGAACTACTGTTACAGCAACAGACATGGACTACTGGTGCCCCACACAACAACTCAATGTCCACTATGTGAAGGAGCCAAACACATGCCTTCTCCTCTCATTAACTGAGATAAACTGCTGGCATATTGGTTTTACATCTATACTGTCCAGTCTCTCCTGGTGGACATGGCACACTGCAGCATTGTTTAATCTCATTTGAGTCATTGTTGACCTTAGCCATCTTTTTAGTCTTCTGAGAGCACTGAAGCTTCTTTCAGCCTCAGTACCTGCGTTTTATCCTCAGATTACAATTATTCTGTGCTTGATGTGCCTCACCTTTGGCCCTGGCTCTTCCTCTCTGACTGCACTAGGACATATTGCTACCTGATAAAATACCACATTGATTTGTGCCATATAAAAAGTGAGACATGTCAATTTAGATTCTTTGTCAAATATACACGAATGAATCAATTTACATCAGCAGCCTAACAATTGTCATGATAATAAATACTAGTTAATCTATAGCACCGAATCATCAGTCAGTCACCTGTGACCTCACCTCTTCACCTCTGAGTTACAACATGGCAGAGCTGCCTCTGTCACCTGATAAATAACAGTGAGACATTCCAAATACATGCAGTCACACATGTGCTTCAAATACAGTCATGAACCACCAAGTCATCATCCAATTTCACCTGTGATCTTGCATCACCATTACTCTCTGAGCTTTGTGTTGGTTCTTCTGTCACCTGACAAATAGGACACACATGACAATAAGAATAAAATGTGGAGCTGCTTCAGTGTTTCTGTCAAGTTGTGCAGATCTTGACTCATCAGTGATGTTTTTAGGATGAGTGCATTTTTAAAACAATTTGTGCAAACTGCACTACAAGGTGGAATATTTGCAAAATCATGACTACCTCATGATATTTTGTCTCAAAAATTAACCCTATGAATATGTCAGTGCCATATGATGAAATTATTTTGTCACCAACATTTTAACATTACATTACTCGAGGCTGCCGTTTTCTCTGACAGTTTCAATCAAAATTAGAAATGTTACTCTGAGAGACTGAGAGAACTAATAGCGCTGCATGTTGTGCAGTTAGTTTCCAAAACACATTATTCATGGTTACATACAATTTTAGACTGATGTGGGCCAAAGCCTAGCATAGCCTGTAATGTTATTATGACGTATACATTTCATGAGTGAGCTTGACTTTATGCATGTTTTCATGTGTTAGAGCCCCGACTAAACTTCGAGAGATGAGGCTTGAGGTTGCCATTGTATTCAAGATGGTGGGTCAACATGGCAACTTCCACTAACCGGTTTATGAGACGCCAGTAGCTTCTTGGAAGATGTAATTACACACTAGTCAATGTATATTTATGAGTAAAATATTAATTTTTTCTATTACATAAACTAAAAAAAAAAAACTGACTACACTTTTAAATGTGTTTTTAAGTCTTGTACTTAAATTAAGGGCTCACAAATGTTGGAAAAATTAATGCAAATCCAAATAGTACTCATTTTGAATCTATGTACTGCGAGGGTCTGTAAATACAACATTTCTGCACAACTTCATGAAATATACTAAAGATATTGTAGTATATTTATACTAGCATAGTATAATCAAAAAGAAGTTGGACATGCATGCTTAATAAACAAAAGAAACATAATTTGGTGGACCATGCAAAGAAACAGACATGTGACTGTTTTTACCAACATTTTTTATTATTTCAAATGTAATCAAAACGACAGTAGTTACAGAAATTACAGACAGCTATGATACTTTATGATTTCGAGTCTTATTGTTTGCTATGAAAGTGTCATGATAAGATAAAACCAACATCACAGCTGGAAGAAAACTCCAATTCTTGTATCTGTATGTTGAGCTCGTGGAACATTTGCTGAATCTGTGACTCAGCATCATTTAATCCAACTCATAAGAGAGCAAAGAAAACAGCAGTAACCAATCCCAATGACACAACTGTGCTGCTTTTGTTAAAAGTGGGAGTGAAAGCCATTAGTCAGGTCCAGTGAAGCAAGTGAAGACTTTGTTGCTAGAAAGCCCAGTTTCCACTATCAGAGCATTGCCAGAGTGTGATAATTATTGTACTTGTGTGGCAAAGGTCCCATAATATTTCACAATCTCATTATTTTACAACACATAGTAGTTGAAATAAGCCGAGGCTGCCTCATTTTAGGACAATGGACTACAGCTTACACCTGTGCCTGCACACATCTTCTCTCATGACATCTTTTTTTTACCGATCTGACTTGTGTACAATAGTGCTCCTCAAAATATAATAACTGTAATCCTCTAGGATAACGTTTTTTCCATCTGGCAATGCTGCGCGACTGAAGTGTTTTTAGTTTTTGTAAATGTGTTCAGTGCAAACAAATGTGACCTCCGGTCACGTTCTCGGACTGCATTTTCACAGCAGTCGTTAAAACACTTGCAGTTTCAGGTGGCACCGTATGATACGTGGATGATTTGATCACTTTCAAAGAGCATTTCTCCACAGGGATCGATCTACCGGTACTAAAAAACAAAAAAATGGACCTGGAGGTGTGGAGAAGCCATTGGCTCACAATTGTTAGAGAAATACTGCTGTGATGCATGTCACGAACCACGACCCAGCTGCATAGCTCCACTGACTGAATGACTAGTGTATAGAGTGACAAAGGCTAACATGACTCAGAGCCGTAGACAATATAAAAGGCAGACATAGCTTCTAGCTCTGTAAAGTGACGCCGACTGTACCTTGAACCTATTTTTTTAAATGTCCTGCAAGTGGAGACTCCTCTGGTTATAAAGGAGTCTATGGGGAAACTACACTCACCTCCCTTGCTTTGTGACCTCAGTATACAATTTACTT